CAAATGTATTCCACAGAACTTTTAGTGCAAACGAATGACGGATCAGTTCAGATAAAACTGAACCTGGATGCAGAGTATTTACAGTAACACCAGTATCTATAGGAGAGGAACCTTAAATGAATTCAAAGATATACTGACAATGGAATCAGCGTATACAAAAGCAAAGGGGATGTTGTTTGAATTACAGCGGAGCATATGATGCCAGTGTGTACTTAGAAATTAGAGTTTCAAAAGGAGAGAATATATGTAGCTCAGGGGTGAACCTGTGGAATCCTTCGTGCTCTCTGAGCTTGGTTGTTTGCTTCCAGAGATTTCATTACCCAACCAGGTGACATCATCAGTGCGAGTGAGGGTGGGGTTTGCTCCCTGTTTATATGCAGTACCTTGCCCTGCCAGTGGTGATGGGTTGTGATTTTCTCCTTGGTAGTCCCTTGAGTAGGGTATTGTTTTCTGCCTGTTCGCCTGCTCTTAATCCCTGCTTATCTGGTATTTGGCTGCTGGAGAGGATGCGTTCTCGTCTTTTGGTTTCCTTCGTAGCTTTTTTACTGTCTCTTTTGAATGGTGTGTAATTGTGGTTCATTTTTATGTTTCTATTGTTGGCTGATTTGTCTGAATGCCCAGCTTTCAGGAATTCTCTAGCGTTTTTGGATTTAACTTGGTCTAGGATGCTCACAGCTTCCCAACAGAAACTATGGTTTAGGCGGTCTATGTATTGTGAGATTAAGCAATTATCATCTGGTCTTCTCACTGCCAGTTGGTGTTCATGGATGCACTCTGCAAGGCTGTCCTACATAGTCTCTGCCTACATAGTGGCTGTTACCATCCTTACACTGTATGTTGTAGATGACCCCTGTTTTTCCTTCTTGAGCTACTGGGTCTTTTGGTTTACTTAAGATGTTTTGGAGGGCAATTCAATGGCAATTGGACTAAAATTGACCATGGCTCCCTCGTGTGCAAACAATCCTTATGCCTGTAGTAGAAGCCCAAGTATCTTTCTCTGGAATTATTACTCTATTTAAAATTACTTGAAAGAAGTCCCACCACATTCAGTATGTATGGATAAGACACAAATGTCAGGGCTCTTGCAGGTTGTTCAACACGCTGCTATCTTTGCTTGTCAATGTGAAGTCTATACTCTGCCCAGCTCAACCTTGCCAATTTTTGCATTTCTATTTTAAATACTGGGGAGCAACAACATTTGGAGTTAAAAAAAATGTACTTCAAAAATATTAGAACTTCTCCCATCCCAGGATGCCAATTTTTCCAGTAGTTTTTGCTTCTAAATGGCCTTGTCAACTAAAGGCACTGTAAACTTACAGCTCACCTTGCAAACGTTTAGCTAACTCCCGTGTAAAGAGAACATTGGCCAGCTTGCTCTGACAGTATGACAGGAACCCATTGTAGAACCTTTCCCCCTGAAGATCATGCAGGTGAATCTTCCAAATATGATGAGCACTGAAGATACATTTATAATACGAGCCGGTGCACTCTGTTTCAGGCGCTCTATTAGCAGGAAGGTCAAAAGAAAGTGTCCTAACGGGAAAATTTATGAACAATAATTTGAATTTTATGGTTACTTGCAAGTCTTCTTTTTTATTTAACATATCTGTTACAAGGATTCAGCATCCCTATCTTATTCTACCCAACATATCATACCAGTAAATATCTGCAAGTGTATCAGAAAAAGATTACTGCTTAAAGAAAATGCTAATGTGACCTTTAAGGGAAAGGTATTGCATAATTTTTTTAAAAGTCACAT